AATAACATAAAAAAATATTAAACGTTAATAAAGTTCGTTCACTAAAACATTTTTTTTTTTTTGTCTTGTCAATATGAGTTGTTGTTTGTCATGGGAAGAAAAGAAGCTCGAAACTTTTGATACGTAATAAATATAAGTAGTTGACGTTTATGAAGATCATTTCTATATGCATATATGATGTCGATCTACAGAAAATTTTTATAATAAAAATATTATTTGTTCTAACATAACGAAGCATTACAAAAAAATTTTCGTTGAGGGTTGTAACATATGATGATGCTATGAGAAAAATATCCATACTTAGGGCTTGAACAGGCTATTATCACGCACCTATCGACATAACCCTCTGCCTTTAACTAATACAGTATATATTGATATATAACTTATTTTTCCCTATACAAGAACGCGTGAATTTTAATCGTGCATGCGTCATCAATTGTAACTTCGATATGATTGGTTACTTTTTTTTTTCATTTCAATTTAACCAGAATACTGATTGATTAAAAAAGAAAATTTTTTTTTCATCTCTTTTCTTTTTACACGTCTAATCAAAATGTCAAAATTCATACAAAGAAATATTTCGTTACTTCAAAAATCAATGGTGTCAAATAATTTTATTCGTCAAAGAATTTTTGTACCTAGTAATAACAATACTTTCTTTAGTAAAACTATTGGAATGAGGATTTTACCAACATTAACCATGGTACAATATATAAATCATTTTTTTTTTTGCTCATATTGTCATGTAAATCTTTTTGTATATATAAATAATTTATTTTTGTTAAAGGTTCAAGAATTGAGAAGACGTAATATTTATGGACAACGAAATTTGAATTATGGAGTTGATAATAGTAGACCTGGTGATTGGATTTGTAAAGGTTGTGGTTATAATAATTTCTCTTTTAGAAGTTCATGTAAGAATTGTGGTGAAAAACCAGAAGTTCGTAATGTTGCAGAAGGCGATTGGGTATGCCCCAATTGTGACTTTTATAATTTTCGATCTAGAACAGTTTGTTTTAAATGTGAGACTCCTTCCCCTAATCCTCCTATTGAAGTAGAAGGTGATTGGACATGTCCAAATTGTAAATTTCTTAATTTTAAATCTAGAATAACTTGTTTCAAATGTGATACGGCTTCCCCTAATTAAAAAAAATCGAAGACAACTTTCTGTCGCGAAGAAATATACACAAAGCATTCAAAAGGAGGGAATTTAGATGGGAATTGGATCATTGTTCACTATTTAGCATTCCAACACTTTACTTTTACACCTTTTTTCCTTTATTAATATTAGGAAAATCATTCATTGAAACTTTATTCCTCTTGCTGAAAATTAAAATTATAATATTAAAACGCGTATATGAATACCTGTCCGTATCTTACTTTAAAGCATTACCCACTTTTTTTTTTTTAAAAAAAAAAGAAATTTAATTCTATCCGTTTCAATCATCCCTTTCATTTCTTTCATCGGAAGAATTCTTGCCATTTCCATTATAATTGTTACCATCACCATCACCTCTATTATTCCCATTATTCTCGTTAGGTTTTCTACCAATTCCTCCATCATCATCATCATCATTAATCCAAACCTCTACAGCTTTTTTTATATTATCCTGTACAATGTGAACAGCATCCATACGCTGTACGCTTTCATAAAATCTTTTAAAAAAAGAAGTTTGAGTTCCATCCTTCCATGACTCTACGTATCTTTTTGCAAGTTGATAACCAGGTGTGAAGGCTCGTTTTATTATACGTTTTGCTGCAAATAAAAAAGATTTGCAATACATTAAGAATAACTTGATGAAGAACAAAAGGAGGTAATGTAAAAAAAAATAAATAAAGTAACTACTTTCTGACTTAGTCTGTTCAAATTTTTCACCAAGGTCTATTTCAGATTCTTCTCTACAAATAAATGAAGTGTTATCTATATATTACACATATATATTCATTCACTAACAATACTTACGGATTATTTTGTGTCCATCCAAGTCGGTACATTTCATCATTCTTCATACCTAAGAAGAATTCGATCATGTAAATTAAGATCATTAGAAACCATAATAAATGTTATTATTACCTTCAGTATGTTTCTGACATAATTCCAACCCTTTTATGTAATATAAATAATATCCATCCATAAAATTTCTTGGTACCTTCAATTCAGTTTTATCTCCTCCATTTTCGGTTTTGTTATATAATACTTGAGCAACATTTTCAATTTGATGTTTCTTATGATTTAATTCTTCTTTAACTACTACTTGCTTTTTTAATAGATCATTTTTTAAATGAGCATTAATTCTTCTAAAACATAGCATGTGGCATTCCGGTACAATAGTTTTATCGCGATTTAAATCCTTTTGTTTACACCATTGAATACAGAATTCATCCCATTTTGGTTGTGGTGGTGAAGATTCTCCATTCTCGTCCTTATTTGGTGGTATAGTAGAAGGAAGGGTGATCGGATTTATATAAATATTTCTAAAATTTGTAAAATTCGGTAGTGTTATAGGTGGTGGTGGTGGTATTGTGTCGTCTAGACTGTCATCTTCAGCGTGGGAAGGTGAAGCTGATTCTTGTTCTTCCGTCTTGTCTTGAGATTTTGAAGGAATTGTCATTTTATATATATCAAAGAAACGATCAATGCTGATCATCAATTCTGCCAGCATCAAATACCGGTAAAACTTTGACCATCCGTCCAATCAAATTCATCTCAAATTAAAGAATTTGTCATGGAAAACGCGCGCAATTCTAGACAGACATTGTGTGAGGAGAATGCTGACGAAATTATTGCCAAAAGGTTGCAAGAGGAAGAGAAAAAAGAATATCTTTTGTTTCAGGAAGATTCAAAATCGTTAGAATTGGCACTTAAGTTGCAAGCTGAAGATTCTAAAAAAGATAATGCAGGTGAAATAAAAATTCGTCCAAAGGTGTTGTAAATTTTATAAAGTTGTTCAATTTTCGTACTTTATAGATTCATTTACGGTTCTTGATCCATGTGATCCCAACCCTGATCTTCATGGACTTTTTCTCGCGTTTAACCAACAATACTTTTGGGGAAAATTGGATGGAGTAGAAGTTCGTTGGTCCAATAAAATGACTATGGTACGAGCAAATCTGTTTTAATTCTCATTAAAAACAAAAAAAAAAAAAAACGGTGTGATTTATCATTAATAATGTGTTCTTAATTGTAAGTGTGCAGGCTTATGTGAGTATCGAAACGGTGGTTACATTTGTATAAGAATGAGCGAACCATTATTGAAATTTCGGCCACGATCGGACATGATCGATACATTAATGCACGAGATGATCCATGCTTATCTTTTTGTGACGCGTAATATTCAAGATCGATGTAGGTACATTCATAAATATCTCTTTTTATAATTAAGATTCATATTTATTAAAAAAGATTTTTCCTATAAGCTGGACACGGTCCAGAATTTCATAGTCATATGCATCGCATTAACACTTTGGCTGGAACAAATGTAACAGTTTATCACAACTTTCGTGACGAGGTTAATTATTACAAAACACACGTTTGGAAATGTGACGTGAGTATTTATTTATTTTTCAATTGAAAAAAAATTTGGTGTAATTATCGTAATCTGACATAAATTTTAGGGACCATGTCAGCATAAACCACCATATTATGGAATAGTTAAGCGTTCGATGAACAGGTATTTCTTTTTACTGAAATCAAATTCTTTTGTTTATAAGTTCTTTCCTAATTGCCATTATATGCCTGAAAGAAAACCACAAAAAGCAGATTCCTGGTTTGAGAATCATCAGGCAACTTGTGGTGGCACATTCGTAAAAATATCAGAACCTTCCAATAAGAAAGCAAAGCAAACAGAAAAGAAAGGACGTGAAGGCAAACGTAAAATGGAAAATGAAAAAAGCGAAAAGAATATGACATTAGATAAATGGATCGATAAAAGACGAGATGAAAAAAGTTTAGTTAATAAAAGAGTACGAGTCATTTTGGATGATGATACTGAAAAGTCCTTTGCACAAATTACATCTGCCAGTGAAGCTTCATCATCCAAAATGTTGTCTACGGTGCAATGTCCAATTTGTGGGAACAATTCAATTAAAGCAGATGAGATTAACGAACACATCGATTTGTGTATTTGGATGTCAGAACAATCAAAGAGCGAGAAATAACTTTCCAATAAGAAAGTCATGCATTTTATTTTTCTTTTCTATACAAATAATTCATCCAAATCCAATGGAACGACTTTTCCATCTTCAGTAGTTAAAGTGAATTTTATAACTTTCCATTTACGGTCTTGTACATCTCGGATAGAATGAAAATGAATAATTCCTTTTCCTAGTGTAATTGAATTTTATCAATTATAAATTATAAAATTAATTAATTCTAATAAGAGTTCAAAATTTTTTTTTTTTATATATATACCTTTATCACCTTTGACGGTGTATTGAAAATTTATTTGACCTTTTAAATGATTAATGTTTCCTTTAATCCAAGGAAAACTAGAAACGAAATTGATATTTTTTCCTAATAACTCTATAGCTTTAGGATGGTATTTTAAATTGAATAGACTTCCTTGTACAATACTACTATTCAGCCGTTGATAATTAAATGAAGCAATTATAGCACCAATCCAAAAGCCAACACCTATTATCCCAAAAATGATGTATTGACCAGTTTTATTTTTAAGTTCTGGTAAAGGTCTTTGTGATGCTTGTGCTTTTTTGACTTTGGTGGTTGTATTTATCGTTGTAGTGGAATAAAACGAAGAGGGAAAAGAAATTCTTAAAGCCTTTGAATGTATTATCAAATTGGATTGATTTAAATTACGCGTTCCATAAGTTAAGCATTGCGAAGATTTAATAGATTTGATTAATTTTTGAGAACCAAGAATTGATGATGATAAACGTGTTTTGCAAAACATTTTTCATTTTTTTTTTTTTCAATTTTTTTTTTTTTTTGGAATGTTAAATAGTGACAAATCACGTGAAACGTTGACTAGACTATATTTAGTACCATAAAAATTTTTGCACGTTGGTCGTTCATAGTTTGAGGATAGATTGAATTTCATATCGTAAAAGCTTTTTTTTGCTATCCATTTTTTTTTTTTTTTTTGATCCTTTACGGTTAGAAATAAATCACATAACCTTTTAATAACAATAATGGTAAAAAGGCAACATAAAACTAGCTCTTGTAAGTGTGAATATTTCAGAGGTTATCAAAGAAAGGTCAAGTTCAAAATCATTTCGATACGTAATCTAATCTAATATGCGTTGCGCGTCAATGCGATAAATAGCTTCAACATCTGCCCAAATACGAAAACCTGCAGTTACCACACGCTCAAAAAGTAATCAAAAGATTGAATTGGTTAATTCTATTGAGCAACAAAAAAAAATCGCGTTTGATATGAAACGAAAGCGGAAATCGGCCGCCGAGGTTATTACACCCGAAGAAAATGATGAAATTGATAGACGATCACCACCATCCAATTCAAATAATACAAAAAATTCGGAAGATAAAGAATCTGTTTTGAGTCCGCCGAAACGAGCGAAACTTTTAACAAGAGTTGGACATAATGATGGTCAATCCAATGTTGATAATAATGAATTAAAGCGGGAGAGTGAAATGATTGAAGATAGTGCTCAACAAAATAATGATCACGATAAACCCTTGCGAAGAAGCGTTGATAAATCAAGTACTAATAATAAGAAGGAGAATGATGACAAAACAACTAAAGATATCGAAAAAGATGAAAATAAAAACAACGAAAAAGGAGTTATTCAATCTAATGATGAGATCATTCAGGATATCAATACGATTACTGAAAGTTTTAAGGACGTTGTAGAAATCAGAGGAACACAAATGGTAATCGGAAATTTTGTAGTAGAATATGATCAATATCAGGAATTTATGACGCTGTTGAATCAATTAGTGGACATTTTAGAAACGTAAAATAATTAAATTTGAATGGAATGTTTTAATTCCTAGCTCCCTTTTTTCACTTTTCAAATTTTTTTTTTTCCTTTTCCTTCACAGGTATGATTCCGAGAAAGTTTTGCAAAGCGCAAAGAAAATAGGGAGCAAGGGAAATAATTCGGGTCAGGTTTTAAATTTAACGCTCTTTCGAGCTAAAATTACTAAGCGTTCATACAAAAGTTTGAATGAATTCCAGGTATATACATTTTTTATTCTCATTTTTTTTTTTGTGAACGTGAGCTTACTAAAAATTTTCTCAATAGGATGATTTTATTTGTACATGCAACGACGTCATAAATGCTGCTGATCCTAAAATGCACAATGCTGCTTCTCAACTTCTTAAATTTGGGTCTCGATTATTTGAACAAGCTTACAAAAAATTGCCAAGAAGTATACGACAACTTGATGTTCATGATAAAAATTCGGTTGCAGTAAAAAGTACATGTTAGTATCGCTGCTTTATCTTTTTATGATTCATAATTGGAAAATTAATAACCTTTCAAATAATAATAATAATAAAAAAAAAAAATAGTTACAAAAAATGTGCAAAAGATTGCACTTGTTCAGCCAACTTCGGACGGTCATGTATTTTCAAGTGGTGCGGTCAAACAACTTCCACAACAAAACGGAAAAAAGGATGCCATTAAATTAGGTAATTATAACAGATTCGTACAAAATTAACTCTTTAGAAGTTTGGAATCAAGCATTACTCGCAAATGGAATATTCAATAATTGTTTTCTTATTTTAATGTTTGTTTCGATTTACCTAAAGTCGGTGATTTGCAGGATATGGCAGTTGTATCTTTGCAATCCATGGACAAACAAGAAATTCCGACATTTGGTTCGATTCTTCCAAAGAAGAGAGAGAATTCTAAGTTCTTACAACCCGAAGAACGTAATGTTCCTGGAAGTTAGTATTTTATCAAGACCTTCGACTAGGCGATTTATTTTTATATTTTTGTTCGAAAAACAGATTAAATATATTGATACGTTACATTTAATATCCAGTTAAATTCCATAGGTATAAGGCATATGCATCATTCGCACCAATTTATGATTCAAGTGACGCAACGTTATCTTATGAAGATACAATGTTGGCGCGTACTTATAAAAAACATAAGCGAGTCTCTAAAAGGATTAATAAGTTGGATTTAAGTGAAGAGGGGCAAGTAAAAAAAAAATCATCATCTAACGTAGAGACGACTTCGGTAGGAGTGTCAGCCGAGCAGAATAATTCAGGAAATGGCAATAACGTAGAAAACAGCGATAAGGATAAATTTTTTGAAGATATTGATGTAGATTTATTATATAAAAGTATTAAACGTACACAACCAAATGAGATTGATGAGATGTTAGACGAACATGCGGAAATCTTTAGAAAAGTACGATCAATGCAAGAGAAAAGATTGATTAAATCGAGTCAAATCTCTGCAAAAGAAAGAAAATATGGTATGAGGATTTATTTTATTTGTTATCCTTTTCGGATCTTTATTTTAAAATATTTAATTATTAATAATCATTTGATACTTTTTATAATAGTATATAAGTTGCAAAAGCAACTTGCTAATTTGATATCAAAAGTATCGCCTTCTGATATCGTCTCATTCAGTGCTGTCGAAAATGCTATGGATAATTTATTAATAAAGGAAAGGTCCTTTAAAGGTGTGCTACCACCTAATAAATCTTTTGCACATCCTACCAACGAAGTTTCTCGTGATGTGTTCGGTAATTTGTCTAGAAAAGAAATATCATCAGTAGATAGGAATAATACATATGCGAGAAATATGAATTCCAAGGACACATTGCCCCAGGGTTCATTAGCAGGGCCGTCATCAGTAACAAATTCAGCATCTCGTCAGCAATCAATGCCGTCACAATCATTACATCATCCTACTCCACATCAGTTACCATTACCGATGTCAGCATCAATGCCTTATACCCAATCTTCACGTGCGACAGCCTCCCAAGTTCCAATGCGAATGCAATATGGAGCATCTCAAGGCACGAGTACTCAAATGCACGCTAATTATCAAATGACTTATTCAAGGCCATTACCAACACAATCGCAAGTTCCAACTTACTATCCTTCGCAACCTTCGCAACGTTACCCTTATGGATATCCTTATTATCCGCAATATGGTTATTCAATGGGTCATTCGTCTTGGCAACAAAGACCAAGTTATTATTGACAAGGGAATGCATTGTGTAGTGAGCAAATGAATTATTTTGAAGGAATTTAATTTTCCCTTTTTTTTTGTATTTAAGAAAAGATTTGGTTAATGTAAATATAAAATTTTAGGGATTAACTTTAGGACTTCGATATATACATACACACATATATATATCGATATTGATGAGGGCAAAATTATAAATAAGTAAAGTTATTGAACTTTTTAGCATTTAAAGATTTTTATTTCATCACGACAAACTTTTAGACAAACAAATTCACTGAATTAAATGTTACAAAATTTTTTTTCAATGGCTTGTAATAAATCAACTTCAACTTTCATAATATGTTTTTGTAATTCGTCAATAGTTTCACCAATCATATTAGAAGCAAAAATCAAAACTCTTTCATAATCTTCGTGATAATCCCCGATTAATTCAACATTCCTATCATACTTGTATCTTTGTGAAATAGTAGGAATTTGATAAGCAGTATACTTCTCTCCAAATAATAATTTTTGATCAGGACTTTCGGGTTTTTTAAATAAAAAGGTTGAATACCTACGACGCAAAATATCCAAAGGATCCGGGAATTTACCGTAATTTTCTCCCCCATGCGTAGAAGGATGATTATTATTCTGATCTGATAATATTGATTGATTATATTCATTATGATTAAAATCCGCCGTTTCATATAATAATTTTAATTCATCCTCGATAGGTTTAAATGAAGTAATCGTTTCCGATACTTTATTTGATTCATTTATAATTTTCAATCGTAACAATTTTGATATTTCTTTATCTTCTAACCTTTCAATTACTTTAAGCTTTCCTGAAGGAGTTGATCTCTTTTTCTCTTGAATACGTGAATCTAAACCTAATTCGACTTCCTTTAATTTGATTTCTTGTACGATTGTTTCATTAAGTGTCTTAAACGGTTTTGATCTTTCATCAATCTCTTTTTTATTTTTTTTTTTTTTGAGAATTCATTAATTTTTTTGTTTATTGTAATAAAGAATTGTATGAGTAAAGGTTTTTGCATACCTGTATATATTTGATCGATACGTAATGATCCTTTAGACGATCGATTCCTATTACCTAATAACTTGGCACAATGTTTAATGTACTGATCTGGATTGATGTTCATCCATTCTTTTATATCACTTTTTAATCAAACAGAAAAAATGAAAAGAAAAAGTTAAAAGGTATTTCTAAAAAAATATTTTTATATATGCAGTCAGTACTCGATATAACGGATCCTCCCCGGTTTATTATAAAAGTTTTTGAAAAAAATCGTTTTAACAAAATTTATAAATTTGATATAACGATTTTTATATGTTTTAATATGGAACAAAAAATTTTAAAAAAAAATCGTTTTAAACGAGAATTCATTAAGTGATCGTTTATATCAAGAGTTCGTTATAACGAGTTCTGACTGTATGTAAAAAAGGTATTTATGATAAACTATTGAAAGCGTTTTAAAAATGCTTACGATGCATCAGCAGGAATTTCTTTTTTAAATAATGCTTCTCTCATGTCACTTAAAGCTTTTATCCAATCTTCAAATGAAGGAAAATGTTTAGTAAATTGATCGTTCTCCCCTGGAAATCTAATAAAGAATTATTGGGAACTGATGATGTAGGATAACGATAAACGAAATTCTTTTTAAAATGAAATACCTTCTACGTTCATCCAAACCATAAATCATTTTAGCAGTGATGATAACAATTGCCATTAATAACGTAGGGGGTCGATAATTATTATATTTATTATGATTAAAATCATGAAAAAGGTTTAAATTAATTATTTGTGCAATGTCCTTAGACATAACATAAAGTTCCACTAGGTATTAAAAGTCAATTTATTAACATCTAATGCAAAAAAAACGTGAAAAAAAATCTCTCTTTTTATATTTTAATACCTGGTAACATTAAATCTCTAACGTATCGATAAATTATGGGTGGGGCGTTAATCTCCGGCAAACGTATTCCATATTCAACTTTATAAAATAAATGAAATCTCGTTTCCAAGTCAAATAGCACCTCGCACTTAACCAAAACCTAAGAAAAATTTTAATATAATTCATTTGAATCATTTGTAAAATTTTTCCGAAAAATTTGAATGAAAGACAAACCTTGGGTTCAAATTTATTGATCCGTCTTCCAAGATGTAATTTTATATTATCAGGCAAATATTGACGTGCTGAAAGAAATGGTAAAGTGCCATCATATATCCACCTAAATAAAATAAATGTCGTCAGCATCTACCTTTGGATATGATTCACATATAAATTACAACAATTCAATTGAATTGATTTACCTATGAATATCACCAATTAATATAGGTAATCTCAACCATAAACATCCAATATGTAAAATAACCAAAAGGTATTGTAATTTTAACAAACATTTTATATCTTTAGTAAAGCTAACAGCTTTTCTTTTGTTTTTTCCCTTTGTTGTAGTATCATCATCAAATTCATCATATTCATCATCTGATGAACTTTGCGGGAGTTCAAATAATAATTCAATATTATCTTCTTCATATTGATCTCTTCTCTCCTCTCCTTGTATGTTTGAAGGGCCACCACCTTCACCTTCATCAATGTCCATAGATTCACGATTTTTTCTGATTTCATCGATACCATTGAATTTATTAACATACATTATCCAGAAATGTTTGCAAACGTTCTATAAAGCATACCAATTAATTAAAGTTTTAGAATGAATTAAGACCAATAGGAAAGTTAACTAACTTCGAGTTGTGGAGTAACTCCCATGTCTTTAATCATTATTTGTATATGATGCCTAAGTATAAATTGCATTGCAACAAATTCGATCCAAAGCAAATCTTTTTGATTATGATACGCGTATCTTTCCTCTATTGATTATTCATATCGAAAGATAGAGAGAAAAAAAATTTTTTTTTTCTTTAATCACTCGAATAAAATTGAAAAATTCCTTCCTTAATGAAAGTTTACCCTTAATAGCCGCCTTTTCCTTTTTTCCTTTTTTACGCCTATTTACTCCTCCTTGACCGTGAAATTCACTTTCTTGTACTGTGTAGCTCTAAAATAGGCAAATATTAATAATCATGATAAATAATTTTTTAAATAACCCAAATCCTTCCACAAAACTCTGTATTTTGAAACATACCTCACGTTGGTGTCCAAATTGACACACCAAACCTCCCAAACCATCAGGAAACCACTTTCTGGATTTACAAACAAGACATTCTTCTCCTTTCATAGTTAATGCAATAAAAGTTATATTTTAAAGACAAATTAATATTGGATATTACTTGTTAAATTGTATGATCGAAATGATGATTTATTAAGAAATAGGACACGTAATTTGATGGATTGTTTCCAAAAAAAGGTGAAAAAAAAATCGAAAAATCACGAGGTCAAATCCCCGATTCAATGATTTTTTTTACATTTGAACTTTTTTTAGGAAATAATTAATATTCTCCATTTGCGTACCGAATCGGCTATGTATATTAAATAAAGCCAGATTCGGTGATTGAATAGGAGGTATGGCAATTACATGGTACATGTACATGATAAGAAACACGATTTCTCCCCAAAAATAATATTACATTTTGAACATTAATTAGTTGATACATTGAAAAAGAAGGTAATAAATTTTTTTTTAAAAAAAAAAAAAACAAAACATCTAAATCTCAAAATTATTAAAGTGTATGTTATAATATCTACAAAAAAAAAGTCTAGTTTTTTGGTTTTTTGATTTTTTTTTCTTTTCTTTTTGATGAAATAAAAATGATAGTTCGAACATTAAAAAAAAAAAAATTTATATTACTTTTTTACATCGTCTAATTATAATGAATTAAATATTATGATGATTTATGTGATTCTCAACATGCAGCCCCATTTCAGATAATACCCAATAAGATAAAACTAATAATCCGGTACCAACGACATCAACAATAGCGGTTCTATAACATAATCAATGAAATAATTGGTAATTATTCGCGAAAAAAAATAAAATAATTTTTTTTATAACTCACATGTAAGGTAAAGAATAATTATCAGGATCATATTTATTTTGCCATAACCAAAGAGTCAATCTTTTAGAGAGATTAAGGGTGAACATCACCTAATATAAATAAAATAAAACTTCGATTTAGTAACGAGAAACAAGCATTATAATAACAATAATGATAATCACACATACACATATTATCGAAACAAGCAAATAAGTGACTGCAAAACTCCAAGTAAGATTAACGTGCCCAACGTTGAACCACCAAGCAAATATTAAAAATACGATTTCAATTGGTATATGAATTAGGAATAGTGTGAACTCCGAGAGACGGTAATCTTCTTCTTCACCACTATGAAGACGAGTGGAGATTCTTGACGCGTATATAGATCCTAAATTACCGGCAATACCATTTAATACTGGGGTTAAAAGTGCAAGTCCGTTATAACGTTCGATATATCGTTCTAAAACCAAACCAGCCATGCTGAAATATTTAAAAAATTACATGAAAATTAATATTATATTGGACAAATATATACTTTGAATGTAATCACATGATAACACACCTGGCAATGACCATGGCCATAAACAGTGGACTCCAGCCATTCACTAGCAAGTCATGAACATAATGATTTGACCATACAAACTGCACCCACAAGGGAATACATATTATAAGTATAAGAAACGTAACGGTGCTGAAACTCGTACCTAAAATCGAAGCTTACATAAGTAATTGCATTCGCGCATGTTAAGTCTGCTAAGGAACGAGGTAAAAAGGAAAAAGGTTTCACTTACGAAGGTGTTGTAATAAAATTTCACCACATGTCGCTAGAATGATTAAGGTAAGCAAATCACCCAGTGACGAAGCCATCGGACATGCAATGTTATCTTAAAAATATATTTTAGATTAACCTTGGATTTTATAGTATAATTGAAATTAAAAAAGGAAATAAAGAAGATAGGCTCACCAGGGTTAATACGCAAACGTCTACATAATATTATTAAGCCGCACATAAAAGTTC